TCGGCCCCCCCAGCCAGGGCCCCGCATGCTGGCAGAGGCGCTGGCTCGCGGATGAGGATCGGCTCCAGCCCCACTGGTGGCTTGGCTGGTTTCCTTTAGAAAACGGTGAGGAGACCACAAGATCCACGAGACGGAGCTGAGGAGGACCTCCAGGGCCCAACTCCAGCTCTCTTGGTTTGCCTTACGCCCTCGCAAAGCCGTCGGGAGGCAGGAACCCGCCCTTCCCAACAGCCCATCTCCCCGCTTTCCCACCTCCACCCTCAAAGCACGTCTGTAGGACCTGGCCCGTATCTGCCACCCAACTGGCAGACTTCCACACACGAAGCGCCCGCTGCCACCTCCTCATCTCTCCACTCTGTAACCTCACCTTTCCCCTTCCCTCCCGGCAGCTCGCGTGCCATGGACCTCCAGCCACCCTCCTGACCTGCCCCAAGCGCCCCCCACGCTGGTCGATGTGCAGCACCCCCCACGTTCCTCCAGCAGTCTCTGGTGGTAAGCATCTGAGCAGCTTCCACCGTTCCTCTGCAGTCCTCAACTGACGTCCTCCCCTCTGCATCGGTGGGATCTTGGCAGCAGAGCTCACTGGGGCTCCCATAAAACGCTGCCTGAGAAACGTCTTCCCTCAGTCTCTGTGTGTAACAAGGGCTTTTCCCACCTGCAGAGGACAGAGCCACTGCTCGCTCCGCTCCGGAGCAAGTCAGGTGCCCTCAGAGACCACGCTCTGATGGCCACCATGCATGTGCTGCCTCCTCCTCCTCCTCCCGGCCTGAGGTCTGACCGCAGCTGCTCTTGAGGCTGCTGCAGCCAGAAACTCTCCTTCTGGTGCCGGTGCTGGTGGGATTTTACCCTTCTCTTTCATCCAACCCGTTCCCCACCTCTGCCTGACCCACCACAGCCCCTCCTGGGCCTCCTGTCCCCCCGACACACCGAGCGCCTCACCTGTGCAGCTCCCGTGGTGAACGATGACTCTCTGGATCTCGTTGAAGTCAGCTACGTACTCGGACGAGTCACCCAGGCTGGTTCCCGGGAGGTCCCTCGGAGGGGAGACGGAGCCGTAGGGGCTCTCGCAGGCTGCCTCCTCGTCCGGACTCTGGAAGCTCCCCTCCGACTGCCCCGACATCCCGTGCAGCTCGGGGTTTTCGGGGCTGTCTTCAGGAAGGAGCTCCTCCGTTTTGATCACAACCCTTATGCCAGCTGCAGCCAAGAGAGATCCAGGCTGGTTCCCGGGAGGTCCCTCGGAGGGGAGACGGAGCCGTAGGGGCTCTCGCAGGCTGCCTCCTCGTCCGGACTCTGGAAGCTCCCCTCCGACTGCCCCGACATCCCGTGCAGCTCGGGGTTTTCGGGGCTGTCTTCAGGAAGGAGCTCCTCCGTTTTGATCACAACCCTTATGCCAGCTGCAGCCAAGAGAGATTCCCGCCAGCCATCATTCCCGGGAGCCAGGAAGAAGACACCGCTCGCAACAACCCCCGCCGGCC